GTATATAATAATTAAAATTTTTTAATTCTTTATAAATAAAAAATTTTTATTAAAAATATTTTTTTATTATTATTATAGAGTACTCTTAAAACTTTTACTTATTTTTTTCAAGGGAAGATTCTCTTAATATGCGACTCAGAGCACTTACAAAAAATCTTTTATTTTTTTTTCTATATTATTAACATATCTAAAGCTTTTTAAAATCGAAGGGAAAGTCGATTGAGTCCTACGAAGCATAAATTGGAACAGCAAAACGTAAAAGAGTGTTTTAGAAAGTATACACTCCTTTTATCGCTTTTCAATTTTTATGCTTCCTAGAGCTTCCATTTACACTTCTGTTACTCTACCTTTACATTCGATTTACGTTCTTATTTTTATTTTCTCCAGGAAAATTTCGCAATATTAAAATGATATTGGGAGAATATTTGTGAAAAACTGAAAATGCGTTCAAATTGCGTTGTGTTTTAATGAATTGTGCTCATTTATGCAGATAGTTTTAAAGCTTCCTCGTGCTCGTCGAAAAGTGTATATTATAAAAATAATAAAATTATAAAATTGTTTGTTTGTCAAAAATTGAATAGTTTTTCGATAAATTTGTGGGAGAATTTCTCGAAACACACAATTCATTGCGTATGCAGATTACTTTACGTGGTTGTATCAACTTTGTACCGTGTAAAAAGAATAAATTACCATCGCATTTAACCGTAAAGTGAATTAAATACTACTTCGTTTATTTAAAAAAAATATATCAAAATATAAATTATTCACCTTTTATATTTTTTATATTATTTATATATAAATCATATTGCGTTTAATTCTTAAGTAAGGCACGAATTAAATATACATTGCTAGAACGATGGTAACATATTCCACTGAGTTAAATTGTGTCATTTTTAACTTTCATGTGCGTCAAAATGTAAATCATTTCTGTGGTTAGTTTCGAAGTAAACACTATCTATATTAACGTATGCATTTAGTAAATATAACAAACTAAATTTGGCTCAAATTTAATTTCATGTTAAATTGTTTAATTCCATTGTTTTAATTAAATTAACGATATATTGAATATGGAACAATGACAACCTATAGAAATGGTTAAAAATAACTCAAATTGAGTATAATTTAACAATATGAATTTAATAGTGTAACTGCGCCGTAGAATAATGCAATGTTGTAAAGTAAGCATTTGCAATTTAAATGAGAATTAGCGAAAAGTAATGAATACCTCATGTAGAATTTTCTCTGTAAATTACCGCGGGTATCAAATAACAACGCGAAAGAAAATACAATCTCCAACAAGAGATAATTATGACAAAAGATAATCATGACGCGAAAATAGAGAAGCGAGTTATTAAACCGCAATTTCTCTACTCTTATTGTTATCTTTGTTATCCTTTGCAAATCCAGGATCTTTTAAATCTTAACTATTCATGAGAAATGCGTACTTCACTAAATTTGCTAAGAATTTTACTTGATCCTTCGAGATTTTCTGGAGCTTTAAGAACGCTTCGACGCGCATAACTTTTGAACACGGAACAAAGAAAGATGTTCTTCCACAAGTAAACTTGCTCGCTGTTATGAGAAAACTTTTGGAATTCGATCTCTAAAGTTTTAGAACGGTTCGTGAAGTTTCTCGGAAATTTTGCTTCCGCTATCGATGTCACAAGGTCGTTTATCGAACAATTCGTGAGTGCGAGGAAGCGAGAGACGAGATGAAAGGAAATGAGGGAAGCTACAAGCAATCACGATATCGCGTAACAATTCTTCTTCCTTCATAAATACATGTAAAAGTCTAAAAATGAACAAGGATATTCATATCTCTTACCGAGTTCATAAGGATAGCACTGCGAGATAAATGCAAGAAAGGGATAACTGAGCCTCTTAGAAGTCAAATTGATTGACTCCTCTCATGAATTCTTTAATTTTAGTATCGAAGAACAAAATTAGCTTATAATTTTTTTAATTTTCTATATTTTTTTCCACGGAATTGATCGATTTGGCTTCTGAGAGGATAAATTAAAACTCCCGCAAATATGAAAGTTTCGGGCAAAGAAAATATCAGGTCTATCATCACCCTTATCAATGTCAGTACTGCGCACATTAATTAACGATCGAAGATTAATTTTGACAAATAAATCGTTGGAAACGGAGTGTTGGTTCCGTTTTCGTTTACCAGTCAACATTCTATCTCAAAGGCTATGGTCCACCTGATGCCTACAAATGCTTTAAAGTATTCTGTAATTGATCAGTTAGTAAAACTCTCTTTTCTGATTTATTAATCAAATTCGAAGCATATTGGTAGCGTTAAGTGAATTATCTAAACCAAAAAGGTACATAGCTAGTTGTAATGTCTTCATCTTCTCAGTTTACGTGCAATAAATAAAAAGATATTAAAGATCTTACGTGACATCATTAATAAATAAATAAATCATCCCTTTGTTTACTTCCTTCATCTGTATATTTGAGACAAAGGAGAATAATTACGTCGAGCTTTCTCTTACCTGGCCGCCTTGCCAGCCGCCCTCTCCAGCTACAGGGAAGATGCCGCCGATGTGCAGGACGTTCTCCTCCTCGTCTTCGGGTGGTAGCAACGCCTCGGTCCAGAGCGCTGCCATTAAAATCACAATTAAGCCCAGCAACATTGCGCATTGCCGAGGAAGGCCGCTCGCCATTCCGCCAGCAGCGTCTTGCCTTCACGCGCGCTCGCTAAAACCGTACGTTTCTCTCTCCCTCTCTCTCTCTCTTTCTCTTTAGCTCTCTTCTACGACATACCGGGTGTAGTGGGACACGTAGTAGCAAAATCGGTGGGGTGCAATGTCGTTGAGAAAGCGCTCACTGCCATCGTCCTCGCCCGATCGACCTCGTCGCCAGACTCGAATCGAACACCCTTTCTCTCTCTCTCTTTCTCTCCCTCGCTCTTTCTCTCTTCCTCCCTCCTCTTTCTCTTTCACCCTCTTCACGACGCTACTCGTTCGATCGCCCGCGAATCTCCTCGCGCGAATGTCACTCTTCTCCTCGTCCTTCGTCCACCCCGACACCTTTCGCTTCTTTCTCCTCTTTCACCACGATCGACTAAAATCCAATTCCGACGAACAGTCGGAATCCTTCTCCCGAAGCTTCCGTTTCTTAATTAATTTTTTACGATTTTATTCGTTTTTCCCGCAGGGGATGTTTTTGTCCACGATCCTCCGCACGTCAGGAGTTGGGAACTGATCAAGTTCTCGAATTGAAATACTCGCCGACACTCCGGCTCCACTTGAGTTACTCGTCGCGCGCGGATCTCGCGTGCGAATGGCAGGCGAGGGTGGCCACCCCCTGGAGATATATCGGGACCTAGCCCGATTCGATACCCGTTCGCGTCGGACAGGCGCGTGAGAGGGAGAGCGATTCGCGGTCACCCCGCGGCTGGAAGAACGGAGGTGGAACGGAGGGGATTGGGGATGGGGTTCACGGCGCTCGTATTTCCGCCGTGCCGCGCCGGTCTCGCGCAAGGGCATGCTCTGGCTCTGCCTTCGCACGAACCGGGAATTTTGCGTAGTTGCGGAGAGATTCAGCAGTGAGCGCGCTTCGCGGGCGTATTCATATCGATTCTCAACCCTCTAGCTAGAGGGTCAACAGGGAGTCGAGTGGGGTAGGACATGATGAAACAGCAGGTGGAAGAGTAAGAGGGCTCGAGAGGGTTGGGAGGTGAGAAAAGATGGCTCCATGAAAATGGCGCTCGCCTTCGTTATTCCTGTGAAAATCAATATGGCGCGGGTGATTTGAGTCACAATTACGTTGTGCAGATAATTCTTATTTCTATCGATATAGATTAGCTCTAATCTAAGGTTTAAATAATAAGAGTGGAAACAAGATCGTTTATGTTAAATACATTACTTTAAATATGAAGCGCCACTATGGTCTGAACGTTAAGATGTTGAATTATTATATATATTCATTTAAATGAATTAATTTCAGAAATGATAAGGTTCAACTTGCTCTTTATCTTTTTTTAGTTTTAAGAATTAAAGAAAAGGATAAAGAGTAAGATAAATGGAGATAAAAATTTATTTATGTTAGAAATGAGTATAAGTAAAATTCTTTTTTTTTGTCGATCTTCCCGAAAGTTCGTTTCGATGAACGAGAAGAAATCTAATAATTTAATAATATTCACAAATGTTTAAAATATTCCTTTGTAATAAGATGCAGTTGAATAATAATAATAAAGATATGAGAAATTCTATTTCTATCGAATTTGTTAGATCATAAATCTAAATCACGATCGTAAAACCAAAATCCATTTTTTTTTTAATTAAGTCTCGCTTTGCGTGCAAACTTAAAAACCTATGATTTGCGTAAAAAGTTGTAAATCACAAACGATTTCACACGAATTTACAACTTTTCACACATTATAGCTGGTGACCATATCGTATTTTATATAATAATATTATAAAGGACGATCTTTTATTTTAGGTAGCTGTCCTTTATTTGTTCCTTCAAAACTCAATTTAAATTTGTCCTTTATTTTCCAATATTGTTCTTTACTGTCTTTCATTTTGACATTACGGAAAATTCTTTTCTAACTAGCGTTTCAATGTCTATTTTTTACAGAAAATATTTTAGTTTCATGCATATAAATACAATTTGTTTTTCTTAATTATATTTCTTAATTTTTGAAATGAAATTTATTCGAACTCGGAATTGTTTTCATTTTTTTATTATTTCAGATTAAAAGTTTATTCCAATACAGTCGAATCAGTTTCAAACTATCAAAAAACTGCGCATTATCTCAATTTGATTATACTGTGCCGTAATTTTATAATGCACAGATTCTTGACAATCATAAACTGGTTTGCAAATTTTTTGTAATTAATAAAATAGTATTCTAATAGTACTCTACTCCGTATATTGCAGATAATAGATGACGCATTACAATAAGTAAAGTATACGTTCCTGAAATATAACAGTGTATATGCTATATACATATGTGATATATCGTTTGCTCTACGCATGCGCAAGATTTGTCTCCTTACTTTTTAGTTTCTATCCGCAATTCCTTTCACTTCGTTGTGAGAAATTCGCTTGTCATTTTTTTTTGTGCTGCGTGCCGTGGTCCTTCTTGTTATCATTGACAGTGTTGCACATGTTATTCCCTTTTAGTGCAACACAATGGCCACACAACGTGCACTTCCTCAGAGTAAAGAAGCGTTATTGAAATCATACACGACGAGGTTAAAGGACGACGTGAAGTCCATGCTGGAAAATTTCGAAGGTACTTTTCTAACCTCTGCCTAGATATCCTAACCTATTTTTATAGGCATTTTCGCCTCTACAATACATCAAATAATTAATTTGAAAATATAACAAGAATTGTAGTATCTAAGCGTTATATAACCTCAAGAGTCTGAAGGCAGAAAATGCTACTAACCGGTAGGAGTAACTCCAAAACTCCTCCGGCGTTTTCGTCCCCAATAATTAAGTTTGTTCTTTGTAATTGAACTTTTTGGGTTTTGCAGTTAAATTTTCTTTCTTTGTTGTCTTTTTCTTCGGTTAATTATATATACTTTAACTGCAAAAAGGATAATATAGTGTGGCTACACAAGAAACTTATTCCTCTTTGATATGATTTTGATGCTCCAATTATTTGAATTTTTTCCTTTCGAGAGACACTAAGTATCACAACTTATTTAATTCATTATCTTTTGATATTTGCTTCTGTTTCTTTGCAGTACAATATTTTCTCGGAATATATATTTGTTCAATATTTCTTATGTTGGATAGTAAGAATGAATCGAGATGTTTTCGACAAACAACTGACGATGTTAATTCTATAATTCTAAGTATAATTTCTCAGGACGTATCTAGAAGTTTATATATGAATTTAAAGGACGCTTCATTTTTGTGATTGTCAATCAATAAATTATTATTGTAGAATAGAAAGATTGAAATTCTAAAAACATAACGTAACATGAAAATATAAAACAAAAATGTTATTAGTATTAAAAATGTAATATAGAAAAATATAAACGTGAAAACAAATTATTTTTAATTATTAACACTGTAAATTATGTCATAATAAAATTAAAAGAAATAAAAATTTATACTGCAGTAATATTAGAATATTAGTGTAATAGCGTTTAGTAATATTTAATACTTCATATAAGTATAATTTTTAATTCTATTTGTACATATAAAATTTGGGAGGAGAAAGATTTATATAATCAGATAACATGATTTGTATTACCTTTATTAATTATTAATATCTATCTTAATTCTGATTTATTTTTGCTATTTTCAGAGATAATTAAACTTGCAAAAGGAGAAAATGACTCTCAACTATCTCGAATGACACAATGCGAGCAAGATACATATGAAATGCATGTCAGAGCAGCTAATATTGTGCGTGCTGGCGAATCATTAATGAAATTAGTCTCTGACATAAAGCAATATTTAATTCTGAATGATTTTCCATCTGTAAATGATGCTATAATACAAAACGGCAAATTATTTAGGACTAAGCAAGTAGAATGTGATCAAAAACTAGCTTCCTTGAGGGACGACATGGCTGCGGATTTATACGATTTGGAAGAGGAATATTATACTTCCATATACAAATAACACTAGTTTAAGTTTAAGCTTAATTTAATGCTAGTCCTGTAATATATTTGAGACTGTTTTCTAAACTCGAATCACAAAATATGACTCATTCATTCAACTTGTACATTGTCCATTTATTTAAATAAATAGAATTAATTTTTTATAACGTTTTACTGCTTTCTTTTAATCTTATGGAGATTTATAGATGATGAGAGTCCTGAATAAGAAATAAGGAGTAATTGTCTCTTTTATTACTTCGATATTTTGTAACACATAGACGATACATCACACAATACTTTTACATATTTAATAATATAAATTCAAGCTTCAGTTATTAATAGTCACCTCACAATCGTTTCCACTTATTATTGTTTACTTGAAACGTATCTCATGATTCTGTACAACGGTAATTTACAAAACTGTTACACAGCTCTCCTGAATTGGAGCAAGGAGATTACAATTATGATTAATTAATTGACAAATTAAAAAAAGATCTATACGTATATAGTTTCAATTTGGAATGTTGCACAAACGTAATCTGACTTGCTTTTTGCAATGTTCGTGTATTGTAGCAACAAGATACAAAGAGTATCAACAACTTGTTGGGTCTGACGAATAATTGGAAATTATGTTTTATACTAGAAAAGATTAACAAAAATATCACAGTGTAAGACACAACGCTGTGACACAAGAACGAGTCTTTCAAACAACGTAAACTATTCGGTGAACTGGTACAGCATCTAAATAAAGTAAATATATTTGAAATTCTAACAAAACGCGGCAGCAGTTTACTTTTAATGCACCTTCGTAATAAATTATCTTTTTATCGCGTTCTCTTGCTTGAATCAGTCCACTGTCCAAGTCATAAAATCATATCGGTACAATCATAACTACATATCGGTACAATCATACATTATTAAATACCTACACCTACACGATTCAAAACAATATTTTCAATTATCCATGGTAACGCATCCGAGATGTGCTTCATAGATGATAGAAGAAATTAACACAAAAGAAAAAAACAGGACAAAAGTAATATAAGAAAGTTGATCTTAAAATAATGTAATTTCTTTTCTCGAACTTTCGTGACTCGATTAACTTATCTTGGATGGCTCTTCTAGACCCACAATAATTTAGTATTTACAAAATTCAATTTCCTTAAAATTAATAATTAACATTAAACCGCCGTTTTCATCTACGCAACTTCTATGCTGAAAAGCTATTAGTTTCATGTATTCTTGAAAAATAATTGCAAACTCAATATGAAAAGACACGCTGTAATGGCTTATCTTCGCATTTGCAAGGCATAGTATGATCTGCCATACATTCGGTACAAATGACGATGTGTTTTGAAATTTACAATTCTTACAGTTTTGTCGAACTGGAACACTTATTGTACATATACATTATTAAATATACTAAGTAGACTTATGTTCTACTTTGGCAAAAAGGTTTACAAATCTAAACTCGAGTTGTTTTTTTTTCCTGAACATTTTCCCCCTCCAATTAAATCTCAAAAGACATTCAACTGTTTACCTTTATTTCTATCAAAAAAAAACTCGCATAAAAGTCTGGCCTTTTACTGGCAGCTTGAACACTCACAGCTTAGCATTAAAGTAATCTCAAAAAGGTTACAAAAACTTGATTCTCTCGTTGATTTATTTTCTATCTTATAAAGTATGCCAGAAAGATGATATGCTCTTTTTATTTTGTTTTTCTTTTAGCAATAGAGTATCAGTCGCTGAGCTCTTTCTTTCAAGTGCTATTATAAAAAAAGCAGCACTATATAGCGTATCTTGGCAGTTTCGATGATTCATTGTGTAAGAAAAGTCCGTTGATTTGACTGCATAACAATACAAAGTAAATGCATATACTTGGAATGATACTGTTAGTTTTTACTTAATCATCTAAATAAACTTCGCTTTTAATACTCGACGCGTTCATGAGCGGAAATTACGCTTTTGATTTCTTTTTATAATTAAAAAAAGTTTTCTTAATTTAATGTGCATTTGACGATAACTTATCTGTGGTCCAAATTATTCGTCCGGTCATGAACGCGAACGTCTAAACCTGTTCTCTATGAAAAATTCGCTTTATATACTTATGTGAGCATTTGTCGTAAATCTTTTTTTATTAAAGTTTATTATAATATATTGATTCCTTTGCATTTGTATAGGTTTTTTTTGCGATTTTCTCGCCGCTAGGAAAAAAAAAGGAATACTTAATATTAGACTTATAAGTTTCATTCTCGTTTCGTTCGTTCGTTCTATTACCGCGGAGGGACGTTGAGCTTGTGAATGATAAAATATCATTCTGCATTTCTTTTCAATAAAGAAGATCGCCGGTCGTTTCCGAGCCCCAAGCACCTGCGTCCTGAGCTGGTCTCAAGTATTCCATTTCGCTTGCATTCTCGGTTTGCTCGGTTGTCGTTGTTGTTGTAGCTGGGGTCGGAACCATCAGTATAGCCCTGGTGATACCCAACTCGAAGCCTTCCGACGTCAGATCCACTTTGCTAGGAGTGTAACTGGCTAGTCCACCTCCACCTATAGATAATAAGTGTCAAGTAGCACGGATGTATTTACTTTGCTTCTATCTTTTCTATCTCCTTAACATATGTTTATCGATTAAGTAATAAGATTATAAGATAAAACATTTTCTAGGATTATCAATTATATCTCTAGAGTATTTTATGATATAACAATTTCCGTTAATTACTTGATTACATTATCATGTTATAATTGCAAAAATGTCTCGTCAAACTACAAACGAGACTCAAATTTGATCTTACCGAGAAGAGATGGCATATTCGTCGTCGAGCTGGATGTCGAAGAGATTTTGTTATTACTCTGCGTAGAAAGTTGCTCGATCACGGAACTGGAAGTTTCGCCGTCCACGCTGCTGGTCTCGCCTTCGAGGATCGACGCTTCGCTGGGATATTCGAAGGTACGTGTGGCGGTGTCGTCGAACTGTATTCGATGCTGAAATCACAACGGTTTAATTAATCCGAGCCGTTGTAAACGAGCATAATATGAAACGATTTGCATCGTTTGGAAATATCGCGAGTTCGCGGCGAAATTAATTTACGAGTACGCGCGCAGGGTATGAAGAATCGCTGCCGGGTGTGTGCAGACTACAAAGGGTATTCGCATATGTAAACACGTGTTATGCAGCCAACGCGGCGATTTATGTTCGCCTTTTGCGCCTTCAACAGAACAGTTACACGTGGAAAAATTTTGCGAGGCGCGCATCGTGTAATAAGCATCGCCGTACACTCGCGCGGGTACAAATGAGATACGGGGAGAACAACAACGGCAACCGCATATAATGTAGCCTCGAATAACAGTATCTGGTCACACTCGATGCTTTTTCGACCTGCGAACGGCAAGTAGGGACGATCGCCCATCCGCCCGTTCGTCGTCATCATCGTTGTCGTCTTTGTACGTCGCAATGTAAATCTTCAAGAAAGCACTATTGTGTCTTCTGTTCGTGATTAAATAACAGTCGTTGTACTTAGGTCTATTCTTTTTTGCACGGTTCATCGTTCCTCTTTTTCTTTTTGCTGTTGAAGACAAAAATAGAAGAGATAAACTGTGCAAGAAGTTTAGCAAAAAGAACAGACATATTTATATAACAGTTCAGAAGTTTCATATAATACTTGTTTTTAGTTTAGCTAAATATATCTTTTCCTCGTTAATATAAAAATATCTTTTTTTTTATGATAAAACTTATGTGGAAAACTTGAAATCGGATTTTACGCAAAAATATATCACATACAACAACTTTAATGCATCTCCATCGAAAGTTTCTTTTGTTTTAAAATAATGTAATAAAATAATTTTTTGTTATTATTTAACACATTCTATCGTGTCAATTTTAGGTGAGTTATCGATGATCCACGAAATGTTTGCTTATATTTATTAGTTAAAATATATTTCATAATAATTAAAAATTGTAAAAATTATTATTATAAAAAAATAATTATCATAAACAAAGCCTAATATACCAAATGCAAATGTGCGTGAATACATATTATAATTATGTATTCACGCGTATCAGAAATTATTTTATAATTATGTTCGTTCATTGTCAAAATATCACATGATATTTTGAAAAAATGGCAAATGGAAAGTGAATCACCGACACAGAACAGAAAGTGTTACATAATAAATTATATAACTTATACCCTTCTGCGTATTAAAAAAAAATAATATTAAAAGAATTATACATTTTTCATAAAAGCATTTTCAGAAATCATCTTTTAACTTCTTAAATACGTAACGAGATAAAAATATTGTACAATATTTTTTTATTTGTGACATATGTAAATATTCTACGATTTTTTATTTGTAACATAAATATTCTTTCCGACACGTTTTGATAGGCAAGATTTACATCAATCCGCGACTGGCTATGACTTAGCCTGACGGTCTGGCGATAACAGTACCGGCGATTATTTCAACTAGGGATTGACTGCTCGCTTCGTGTAATTATATATATGCATCATTCTTTCTCTTCCTGAGGCGTCATGAAATATAAGACAAAAAACCAAATCGACAGATCAATCTCGGACGTCGACAGCAATACGTTGTATCTTTGAGATATGAGATTGTGAATTGTGCGTAATTAAAATCATCATCATCGGGCCATCTTCTTTCTTCACTTTTTTTGTGTTACTGACAAGAATTATCGAAGTAAATGAGCATCTAAGAGATGCGAAAAGTCATTTCAAGCCACGATACTGCGCTTTCTAGAGCGGCGCTCCACTTTTTCGGGGTATTCCTCGTACTCTTCGTCACAAATTGCAATTAGTATTTTCTCACCGAGCGAGTGACTGCGACAATCATAGACCGTTCCGGCTAGCTGGCTAAGTGGCATTAATAAAGCAAAACTTGAGAAACGAACGCGGGACTTTCCACAGTCATCTTCAGAGATACCTCTTCCTTACGACAACGAGCAAATTTAAATACTACGCTCCAATGCCTCGATTAAATCTAATTTGTCAGATTCAGATCTTTTATCGATCGTAGAAATTGATGTCGGTATTATTAAAATGATGATTGAATTTCTTGGCCGTACGATAAAATTGATAATGAAAGTTCGATAAATTTATACTTGTGATAATTAAATTGCGTACAAAACAAATATGTTGATTCTCTTTTATATATGCAATTGTCTAATCTAAGATAAGATATTTGGATTGTCGCTTTTCGAGATGTTCACTTCAAGATAAAATTGAACGTTGATTTCAAAACAATTGCAATTACGTGGTTTGTACATTTCATGATTACTCATGGTTCATTGTTGTGTGCTTTGTAATTACAATTTATTGTCTTGAATTTTTACGAATGATTCCGGACTAAATCAAATGTTGTAACATTCTTGAGTACCTAGATATTTTAATTTTAAATTGAATATGGAAATCAATTTTCATATTCAATTTTGTTCAATAAGTTAATTATGAATATCGATATAGAGATGTCTACATGACCGTTAAATTATCTGAAAACGATTAAAATAACAAAGAAAAATATTAAAGAGATATACAGATAAATATAGCAATTTATAACTCTGATACTGTAAAGTTAACTTTCTAACAAAGAAAAACATTCCGCGTCTTTAAGATATATTGGGTCATTTAAAAAGTATCCGCGGTTTTTTCATTCAAAAATTGAACAAAAAATCGCGGATACTTTTTAAATAACCTAATAAATCATGTTTACATATCCGAAGAATAAATATAAATTCTATAATTTAAAATGCGTAAAAATAATAAATTTAGTCATCAGTAATCGATGGATTGACGTTTGCATTCCATAGACAGCTTAATGAATAACATGAAATCTCTGTCTTATAGTAACTTTATACATAAAAAATATTTCTCCTTTAGCAACATCGCAATAAAAAGTATTATGTTTTTTTAACGACGTTGTAAGAAAAGCTTGAAGCGTTCTGCGATCGTTTCCTCTTCAAATTTGCAATCGCAGATCGCAGTGATCTTTTCAATTGCGAAAAGA